CGCGCTGACCCTGTGCGTCCGGAGCCTGTGCTCCGCAAAGGGAGAGGCCACAACAGTGAGAGGCCCGCGTACCGCAAAAAAAAAGAGAAAAAAAAAAAAAAAAGATTATGCCTTTTATGAAAGCCACTGCACATAATAAACAGGGAAAGAAGATTCACAAAACGTTGAAACTGATGATCCACAACTGCTTTTCCCTACCAGCCCAATTCCAAGAGTGAGATGGGAAATCTTACCTCCTCTTTTTTATAGGGAGCCTCCAGCATGGCCTCAATCACTATATCAAAGTCATCGGATGCCATTGTAGCAGGTCTGAGGAGAGGACATCAATACATAAGAACCTCATTTATATTTTTCCTCCCCTTCCAGCACCCCACATTCCCTCCCCCCTCCAAGAAACAGACTTCAGGATATACAGTTCTGTTTCTTGAACTCCAAAGGTACCTCACCCGCTGTTGCTTTACCCTAAGTTTATTTTTGTACCTTACAGATCTGAACTAGTTCTGCTTTGTGGCTTAGAAAAGGTCAGGGGTCTAGAAGAAAACTGAATATCTAGGTAGAGACAAAATACAATATAGACCCTGTCCTGTGAAAAGAAAATGTTCGTACTCAAAATTACTATTTATTTTACAACAGACACTTGGCCTCCATTCTACTGTTCAAAATTCTGAATAAATAATTGGTTTAAACTTAAATCGGCACATATTTCCAATAAAAAGGTAAGAACGCATGACTAAAAATTAGGAGCAAGAGAAAGCAATACCAGAATAATGCAGATTTGTCCTAAGCTTTTCCCCACACCACCGCCCAACACAAATAATGAGGGAATTCATCATTAAGCATTTTCTGTACAATACCGACCAGAGTTTGGGTAACTCAGAAAGACCATGATTAAGACAGGCTTAACCAGTCCCACTTTGAAGCCTTTCTGTCTAGGAAGGTACAGTAGGACTTCTCGCCTACCCCAAGTTTTCACGTCTAGCAATGGTCTTTCCCAAGTCTGTCCACCATAGGTCTATAAATAAAAAAAACAGAAGACACCAAACAAAATCAATAGGATAAATTATTCAGAAATTACTGGTCTGAAATTATCAATATAAGTAACATGGATGAATCTCAAAATAATTATGCTGAGTGGAAGGAAACAGGTAAAAAAAAGCATACATACTGTATGATTTCATGTACATAAAATTCTAGAAAATGCAAACTAACCTGTAGTGACAGAAAGCAGACCAGTGGTTACCTAGGGATAAGAATAGGTGGGAAGGGGCTAGGATGAAAGGATTATAAAAGGGCATTTTGGAATTTTGGGGGTGATGGTTTCATGGGTGTTAACACATATCAAAACACATCAAACTGTACACTTTAATGTGTACGGTTTTATTTTATATCAATTATACCTTAATAAAGCTGGGAAAAAAACTAATCTAAATACTTTCTATGCAAGGAGGTTAATCATAATTAGACTTTCCATATCCTCAAGAGCTTTGTCCTCTTTAAAGCAGCTAATGCATCATCCAATCATGCTGTCTTGGTTGCCCTCAGAGTCCATAGCCTATTTTGATGATTGAATAGGAGTAATCATTATATCAATATCTGTCATTTATAGTACCTAATATTGCCAGGCACTATGCTAAACATGTTACAGAGATAAGATTCTTGGAAAGAGCCAACCAATAAAACTTACTTGGAGCCAAATTTAAGGCTTAAAATGGAAACCAAACCAAAATAAAATAGGTATGTCTAAAAACCAGTGAACTCAATCTCTTATACTAACACCTTACATTTATTTAACAATCAGTGGTAACATATGCTACAAGCAAATATTGGACCTAATGCACAGATGAGGGACTTCCCTGGTGGTCCAGTGGGTAAGACTCCGTGCTCCCAATTAAGGGGGCCCGGGTTCGATCCCTGGTCAGAGAACTAGATCCCACATGCATGCTGCAAGTAAAAGGCCTATATGCCGCAACTAAAGATCCCACGTGCCTGAACTAAGACCCAGCACAGCAGAAAGGAAGGGAGGGAGGGAGGAAGGAAAGAAGGACAGAAGAAAGATTTTAAAAGTGCACAGATGAAAAAACTGAGGTTCTGTGAACTGCCCAAAGTCACAAAGCTCAAATGGAGGAGCTGACCCTTGATCATAAATCTTCCACCTCTTAAGTCTAATATTCTAACAGGTTACTGCTCTCTCATGTGGTTTATAACTTAAACCCTAAAGGAAATTTTAAAAAGAAAAGTACACAGCTTACCAAGATGTCTATTTTTAAATATATACTGATCTGAAGAATTAATGTTCTGATAGGTATATCAAAAGAATCAGTCCCATTAGTCACACCTATTGGGTGGCTTACAGATACTCAACGTGTAACAGTATATGCTACAAAATATTAGAAACTAGGCTGACTTTAATATATGCTATCTGATTTTAATATATGCCAGCATATATCTTAACATATGCTACTGTGGGAAAAAATGGTTCTAAAAGTAAGTTTTTGATTTACAAGCTCTGTTCCTTTCATTCATTTTGGCTGCCAAATCTATACACATTTTCTAAATGTCATAACGCTTCTCTTTCTTATAGTCTGCCTTTTTTTTTTTTTTTTTTTTTTTTTTTCTTTTGCGTTATGCGGGCCTCTCACTGTTGTGGCCTCTCCCATTTGCGGAGCACAGGCTCCGGACGCGCAGGCTCAGTGGCCATGGCTCACGGGCCCAGCCGCTCCGCGGCATGTGGGATCTTCCCGAAACGGGGCACGAACCCGCGTCTCCTGCATCGGCAGACGGACTCTCAAGCACTGCGCCACCAGGGAAGCCCTATAGTCTGCCTTTAACTCTCCAAATGAAATGCTTCAAGAACTGCTCTTTGTTGAGTGCTAGTACAGCACAGGGATAACTTAACACCAAAAAAAACCTTTCATGTAAGTTGACAAATGAACCCCTTCCTATGGAATAAAGTTTTCAGACTTCAGAAACAAATGAATGAATCTATTTAAGCACAGACATATATAACACCAGCACACTTTGAAACTTGCAATCTTGCTGGGTTTGGTCTTTCTAGATGTCCTAAAAACAGAATGTCTCAAACACTATGTGCTTTCACGTCGGGAGTCTTCAAACTCTTTGAGTCCTAACTTATGGATCAAAGTCCACTCAATCCCATACATTAAAATATTATAGTGCTTTCTTCCCACCCTGCTTCAAAAACTACGTTAGAGGTCCATAATCACGGCACTACGTGGACCTTGTCATAACAGCACAGACAAGACCCAAGCCAGCACTTAGGCCCCACTGCCGCGGGGGCAAAGGAGAGTGAAGAACCACTGTCAGCCCCATCAGGCAGAATTCACCAAACGCTGGAGTCCCAGGGGTGATGGTAGCGCCATCTCCTGGGTCCGGTAACTGAGCTGGGCACAAACATCTCCAAACTGAAGACAGCTTAATTAAGAACAAAAACAATGAGAAAGATAAAAACATTCCCCATGTTGTGTAACAGCCAAGGCCACGCTTCAAAAAATGGTCCTACAAGTTACCGACTGGCAGCATCTCTGCGAGGGCCAGTGTCCCGATTCTAAACCCTCGTATGTGGCCCCACTATGCTCCTCTACCGCCACAGGATGTGTGGGCACAGTGGCCAACATACTGAACATGAGTCTTTGAGAGGCTGAAGATTGAGGAAGAAGCCTCAATTCCCTCATCTCTCTCTGAGTGGTGGCACTAGGGGCTGAAAACGGATCCCACATGTCCTCTCAGACCGTGGTGGGTCGATGCTCCCTCCACAGTGTGGGACAGCCTAAATGTCACGGCTGGAAAGAGATCAGTCATTGGGACCCCTGAAACAGCATTTTCATCGCTAAAGGATGTAGCCACGAGGGTGCCGATGGACTACAGTTAGGTAGCAAACACTTCCAGATCAAAGTAAACAAAATTTTTTTTTAATTTTAAAAGTTTGCCCAATTCTGCTCTTGACACCATTTTCTGCCTGTGACGTCAGGGGGAGGCGCCGTGCGGCAACGTCACGCATAGGTGACGTTTCGGGGGGGACCCGGTTTCGGGGTTTCTTACCAGTTCCGGGTCCCCGCAGCGGGGGGGGGGGTGTCGCGGTTCCCTTCGTTCCTTTGTGTCGGGGGACGCCAAGCACGGTTCCCTTCCAGAGACTCAGCAGTAAGAGCCCCACTACAACTGGAGCTGCTCCTCTTCCCGCAAAATGGCGGCAGCTCTGCTGTCTTCCAGAACCTTCCCCAATCTGCGCAGGCGCCGAAACATTCAGGTGGCGGAATTAATCTCACGGGTTTCGCGGCAACACTCCAAAGTACAGATTTTCATTGGCTAAAATCTGAGCATGGGTGGAGCCAAGCTCAAAGGTCTCTTAGCAACCAACAAGTTCCCATTGATTGGCTAATCTTTCCAAGACTCAGGGAAAGCAGAAGCGTCCTTAGGTAGCCGCCTATCGCTCTCTCATTGGTTAAGTAACTTGCGGAAGGCGGGGCAACCGGGCAGAGCACCGGAGAAAAGGACCCTCCTACTCGCTCACGGCTGTCTTGTAGACTAGGCTAACAGCGCGGAGGAGCCTGTTGACGTCCTTGGCCGTCCCCACTCAGATTTGCCGAGGAGTTCACGTCAGGCTTCTCTGGGACAGCTTTCTGGAGAGCAACTGCATTTGCCTCCCGTGGGGAGGGATGCTGGGCTGCCCACCTCCATTGTGTCATACAACCCTCCCAACCGCTGCCTCGTTTCCTCGGGGCTTGGATCTCACGTGACTTGTCACAGATTTGTCGTCTTCCGCATTCTGCCTGGTCCTACAGCTCATATACCTTCAGTTCAAATCAGTGCCCCACACACCTCCCACCGCAAGGGTAAACTTGAGGCAGTTTCTCAGGTGACTCTGGATGCAGCAGTACTCAGCCCTCTAAACAGAAAGAGAAGGAACTGATGTCCACCCTCACGTTGCAACGTCTTCCAGAACCCCCAGAGCCTTCAGCTGCCTAATACAGCTGCCAGAAAGATAGCTGGTTATAACATGGAGAGGGCCATGGAGTCACAGGAACCTTGTTCAGTCCTGATTTGAATACTAACTTTATATCATTGTACCAATTCAAATTCCTCTTCTGTAAAATGTAGAATTGGACTAGATTATCTCTTAGGACTTCAAACTCTAATCCTATGATTTTATTCAAATAAGTGGCTTCTTGCTGGCGAAGCCTGGATGACTTCCAGTTTCTCTCCCAAGAGGTAACAGAGGAGCTGGCAGTACAGCAGCTCAGGAAGGTGGAAGGGAAGCTGGCTTCACTCACTACCCTATCTT